GGATATTCCCCTTCTTGAATAGCGCGTATGTTGTGTTCATCAAAGAGACAAACATTCCAAGCCTTCTGATGAAAACTAATTTTTACTCGGATGAAATAGCTGCAACTATCGTAATGGCCATTATTTTAAGTCGATATCTTTCATAAATATAAGTTTTGTTTCGTTACAAATATGACTTAAAAATTGATACTTTTTTTTTAATCCTGAAATACTGTATCTCCAGGATTTTTTTTTTATTTTGATGATTAGCTAATATTAATTACCGGAAAAAATCTTTCACCAAATATCTCAGCATCCTGAACGCTTTGAAACCATATGAATTATTTTTTTTTACATGCTAGATTATATATTAATTACGTTTTTTATTGTCAGTATGTACTTGCGGCATTTTGGGAAGTGTTGAAAGGGCGGTAAATGGCACATTTCCATCACACACACACACACACACATATATATATATATATATTTATATATTTATATATATATATATATATATATATATATATATATATATATATATATATATATATATATATATATATATATATATATATATATACACACACATACATACATACAGACAGACAGACAGACAGACAGACAGACAGACAGACAGACAGACAGACAGACATACAGACATACATACAGACATACATACAGACATACATACAGACATACATACATACATACATACATACATACATACATACATACAGACGTACATACAGACGTACATACATACATACATACATACGCAAAGAGACAAATACCAACTCTACCAGCCCGCAGACACGAGAGTATTTCTCCATCTCCACCTACGATCAGAGTGCTTGCACTTCCAACCCTCCCATTAAACTCCATCGCTCATTTAAATTATCTGATAACGTCATGGCACCTACGGCCTTGACCCTGCCGCTGGTACTGCGCCACGTCACCTTATCTCTGCCTACCCGAGAGATGAGTGCCAGTGTTTGGTGTACCATTCATCGAGATATACGTGGGTTAGATGCTGGCCCTTTTAGAATTGGCCACCCAATCTAAAGATGGCCACTCTTTTGTGTACCAGTCATTGAGAGAAACGTAGGTTAGTTGCTGGCCTTTTTAGAGTTGGCCACCCAATCTAAAGATGGCCACCCTTTTGTGTACCAGTCATCGAGACATACGTGGGTTAGTTGCTGGCCCTTTTAGAGTTGGCCATCCACTTTTAACTTGACCACTCACTTTAAACCTGGCCATGCACTGGCATGGTCACGTATTCTTGCCAACCCTTCTGAAGAGAAGCCACATATTTTCAAGTTCATAAGACAACCCCGTTATCGTTCTAATTTAACCATTTAAATCCTTCATTCACTTCACATACCAAATATTCATTCGGATAAATCAACCTTCGCCATATTAACGATACTTCGTGAGGTAGCATGGCTAGGGTTCCAGGTCTTGTGGTGAGGTAGCATGGCTAGGGTTCCAGGTCTTATGGTGAGGTAGCATGGCTAGGGTTTCATAATGTCTAATGGCGAGATTCTGTAAAATTAAAATCGGAAGAGATAGCTATCCCCGCTATGGACAGAACCCCCCCCCCTCCCCCACACACACACACACCATGCGGCGCAGTCGGCCCTGGCTACATCCCCCCCCCCTTAGTGTTAATTGACATACGTTTAATTATCCGGACGAGGGGGGGGGGGGTGTTCAACAACATCCACAGCAACCTTTGACCCCTGACACCGGTATTTGAACCCGGGGACGATATCTCGTTTCCATCTGGCTCGCCCACCGGGACTCCCTGCCCGCCGCCCCACCACTGCTCACACCACGGCTCACACCACTGCTCACTCTTCACGTGAATCAATACGGATTACACGTGATGCCTGCGATGCGTGAACCGATATTAACCCTGGCACTTAATTACCGACCTGCCCGATACACCCCACCCCTCCTTTTTTTGTCTTCCCCATCCCCGTGTCTTTATTTTTACCTCAGTATTGTCTTGTTGATGCTGAAAAAATGCTCATAAATTAGAGTATTGTATTTAGGTCCATTTTTGTGAAGCTAACTGACCAAAGTGTTTACACACCTGACCTAATGCATGACAGGCGAGGCGGTTTTTGGTGCTGCGTTGAATCAGTGTTTCTTTCAGACTTTTTTTCGGGAGGGGGGGGGGGTGGGGGCATTTGAAATTTTCGGGGGCGGACTACATTTTCCAGGGGGGGTGGGGGACACTGGGTAAAAGTATATATCTTCCCCCCGAAGAGATGCCTGAAACTGCGTGGAATGGCTTGTTCATATCCTATATGGCTGAAGACTGCTGACAAATCTTGGACTACATAACATGCCTATGTCTACCTTCGACAATGAAATAATATTTTATGTTTACATTGCTGTTTCATCCTGCTAAAAGAACTTTCTCGATATTAACGCGTCAAATATGCTCAACTATTACAGAGCAGCTTACAAATAATTTTAAAAGAATTCTATAAATGCAATTGTTTTAGCGGCATTAAGTTCTCATTAGCATCATACTAGTGAACACTTATGCTAGACTATCAAAGGTATATTTTCCGAGGGTTCGGAATCTCTATTTGGCTACATCCCGAATCTAGTTGTTAGATCTTTAAGTGTCGCAAATCCAAGTGCCTGGGTCTTATTAGTTCTTGTTCTTCCATAGGGAGTAGCCAAAGGGAATTAACTGCACAAATAGGAAAAGGGAAATAACTGTTAGAATGATAGTAATCGCGATAGTGTTCTTTGCTGAAAATATATAATCCGTAGAATAAACTACCTTATGTAGGTTTGTTTGTTTTTTGTTGTTTGTTTGTTGTTTTTTTTTTAGATATACCTTACACTTAGGAAATTTTGCTTTAGTTATTTGTATGTATTTCTTTTACTGATTATAACTGAGCTTTTACTGGATGCTTTATTAATGTTCACACAGGCCTAATCTTACCCAAGGCTCATGCTATTTGGATCGAAATTTGTAGGTGAGGGTGAGGGGTGGAAGCACTCGTTACCGAAATAATTACAACGAGAACGATGGTGCCCCTCGTGGTTAGTTTCTTTAAGTACGCGTTGTTTTGGTTTTTTTTTTGGTGGGGGGGGGGGGATGGGGAGGTGGGTAAGGAAATTATACTCCAACGAGGTATGACAATTTCCTTTTTGTTTTTTTACTGTACTGCCTCGGGCATCAACTTAGAAATTGCCCCGAGACACGGGACAGCTACAATTTACATCCTTCATAGATCGTTTCCCTTGTTACCGTCTGACCAAAGAGATCTACTAGCATTCTTTACCCGGCGCCGCTACGGTCCTGCGATTCATTTACTAACTCGTTATTTCCGTGTTTTTCCTGAATGTTCCTTGAAGTATTTACACCCGTTTTCCTTACACCCCCCACCCACCCCCACAAACACACACCACCCTTTAGAAGATTTCATTCTGCTTTTTGATCACGTGACTCGTCGAAACCAATCTTTGAGACAAGAGAGACCCTGTCATGGTTTGGTTTGGACCATCTGGATCACTCATCTTGACTAGGCGTGTCTTGGGCTTCAGTCTAATCTTATCATAACTTTGTGTTTTCTCGTTCTCTGTATATAGTGTGTGCCTGTGTATAGGCCGAAGTATGGATGGATAGATGGATAGATGGATAGATGGATAGATGGATAGATAGATAGATAGATAGATAGATAGATAGATAGATAGATAGATAGATAGATAGATAGATAGATAGATAGATAGATAGATAGATAGATAGATAGATAGATAGATAGATAGATAGATAGATAGATAGATAGATTTATATATTTATTTATATGTATGTATGTATGTTCGTTCCCTAGATAGAATGACAGACAGACAGTTTGTATGCATTTCTTCTTGTCATACACTCAATCGAGTTGTTTTGCTTTAAAACACAGTTGTCTACTTAGTCTTTAGCGCGCGACCAACGCAGATGATTGCTCTATGTCGCCTTTTAACAATGACGCGCTTTGATCCATCGCTTATTTTTATCACGTTCACGTACGGAGAGATACAAACCGGTACACATAATATTTTTTACTCCGTTTTTCTTCCTTTGCCCCACCCCACCCACAAAAAAATTACTACGTAGATGCCGTATTTTTTTTCCTCCAAGATTCGTTTAGGCATGTATTGTGACATTGTAGAAACAGGTGGGCTGTTTGCACGTTGCTCTGAAATATCGTCTTCTTGAGTTTAAAGGAAAATAAAACCTTTTTCAGTGATTCTCAAACTATATCAAGTATATATTTATAACCATGATTAGAATTAGATCTAGTCATCGATTTTATATCTGACAATCACTGACATCAAGGTACCGCCATGTCAATCCATTTGGAAATAAAGCGGGAGTAATCTCCCCTAAACTTTTTCGTATATTCTTATATAACAGTAAGAGGCATAGCACTTTCTTGTAGTCCGGATAAACAAATGTTTTTTATTGGGTTTTTTTTTTTTTTAATTCTTACATTTTCACCTTTTCGTATACAGAGTGTAGAGGAAGTATTAAAATCGTGTACAAAAATATCATTAAATGTTGACAGTTTTCATCGTTTTACACCTCAGTACTTTATTGCAACTATTGGGGACTTATTTTATTATATTTATTATTATTTTAAAGTCGCAAAGTTAAGTAGTTGTTTTTTTTTTAGTTTAGGGGTCTCCGTCTATGACTGCACTATTTTATTTTAACAACTTTTATCTCAACCCACACATGGTCACAAAATCACAAATTAATTCTTTTAAATACTAGCTATTAAGCATGGTCAAGTTAAAGTAGGCCTGTGTTGAATAACTTCTATTACTGTTTACTACAAAATAACCTTTAAAATGCGAAAAATAACTGCTACCATTTATTGGGAAAGGGGGGGGGGGGGTAATTTCTCCTTTAATACTTACAACCAAATGCCAGACTCAATATAAATACTGAACATTTACATTGGTGTCACATTATATGTTGTTTTTTTTTTTTTTCATATTCACAGTGTGCACAGGTACCAACATTGGACTACTCCACTCTGCAGATCCAGAATATCAGTACAACATGTACAAGACAATGTATACCAACTGCACCTATGTCATGGGCAATTTGGAGATCAACTTTCTCCAACATGGTTATTTTGACATGAGTTTTCTAAAGGACATAAAAGAAGTTTATGGTAAGTTTATATTTAATGGCAGCAATAATTTTTAAGAGTCTGTGGTATGTGTATGTTAATGGCAGCAATGCTATTGCAGTTGTTTTGTTTTGTTTTTTTTTTGTTTTTTTTTTAAAGTTGTTTTCTACTAATCATGTGAGAGATAAATTATCAAGAACTTTTTAAAAACAATAATTGTAGACGAGAAATTTATACGAACTGAACTCAATGGAACATAAAATATCAAATAAAAAGAACTGTAATGCCTTTGGTTTGGTTTAGATTTATGGTAGGCTATGTGTTGATAGTGGTCTAGCCCTTATAGTTCCAAGGGTATATGTTGATAGTATTATAACCCTTTCAATTACAGGCTATATTTTTTATAGTCTTTTCGCACTTTCAATTCCCCAGGCTATGTGTTGATAGTATTTTAACCCTTTCAATTTCCCAGGCTATGTGTTGATAGTATTTTAACCCTTTCAATTCCCCAGGCTATGTGTTGATAGTATTTTAACCCTTTCAATTCCCCAGGCTATGTGTTGATAGTAGGCAACCATGTCAACAACCTGATGCTCACCAACCTTCAAATCATCCGAGGCATGACCCTGTTTTACTATCACAAAACCGAACAGTACTACAGTCTGTATGTGGCTTTAAACGACGGCAAGGACAACCGGGGGCTGCGTGAGCTGGGTTTTGTCAACTTGTTGGGTAAGTCTTGATTCAAAAACCTTCTTACAATTACATATACAGAGAAAAATGTAAGCTTTATGTTTGTGTATGTTTCAAAATTATAACAAGAGAATAGAGGAACTATGTCTTCCAATTAACATGTTTCTCTATTCTCAATACTAAAATCATAATATATAATATATATATATATATATATGTGTGTGTGAATATATATATATATATATATATATATATATATATATATATATATATATATATATATATATATATATATATAAACAATATATACTTTTTTTACAGTAATCTAGAAAATAGTACACTAGGCATACCAGAAACATTGTATTCTTTCTTAGTAATCATAGTGTACACAACAACTTTTGTGCACACTCCACACTGTCCAGAACACTCAATACTGTCCAATAGATTACACACTGTCCACTGCACTCCACACTGTCCAGAACACTCAATACTGTCCAATACATTACACACTGTCCACTGCACTCCACACTGTCCAGAACACTCAATACTGTCCAATACATTACACACTGTCCACTGCACTCCACACTGTCTAGAACACTCAATACTGTCCAATACATTACACACTGTCCACTGCACTCCACACTGTCCAGAACACTCAATACTGTCCAATACATTACACACTGTCCACTGCACTCCACACTGTCCAGAACACTCAATACTGTCCAATACATTACACACTGTCCACTGCACTCCACACTGTCCAGAACACTCAATACTGTCCAATACATTACACACTGTCCACTGCACTCCACACTGTCCAGAACACTCAATACTGTCCAATACATTACACACTGTCCACTGCACTCCACACTGTCCAGAACACTCAATACTGTCCAATACATTACACACTGTCCACTGCACTCCACACTGTCCAGAACACTCAATACTGTCCAATACATTACACACTGACCACTGCACTCCATGCTGTCCAGTACACTCAATACTGTCCAATACATTACACACTGTCCACTGCACTCCATGCTGTCCAGTACACTCCATCTGTGTAACTATAAATACGCTCATAAAGTCATATGTTACATGTTATTTTTCAGAAATCATGAATGGCGGGGTGTACTTCCAAGAAAACAGACACCTCTGTTACGAGGATACTATTTCATGGCATCACATAGTCAAAGATACAAATAATAATGCACCTTGGCGGTGGGATGGCGAACACACACAAGACTGTAAGCACTTTATTTACTTCCACATTTATTGTACAATTTGTTTGCAAGTGAATGTTTATAAACAGTCAATCTATGTTAAGATAAATTTACAATTTTCAGCCGATAATTTTTACTTGTTGCTACTATTCTTATGTAAATGTTTATAAATCAATCCACTTCTATTAAAACTGAAGCAGTTGTTTTGTACAATTTTAAAATTTAGCAAGAATTTGGTCATGTCAGTTATAACCTGTCATGTTTTTGTCTTCTGCTGTCAGGCCCGCCGTGTCATGAGAGCTGTTACAACAATTTGACAAAGGCACATCACTGCTGGGGTGCAGGGCCCAACATGTGTCAGAAATGTGAGTCACTCATATGTATATGTGTGTGTGTACATATATATTTATATCCATATGTGTGTATATGAATATATGTGTGTGTGTGTGTGTGTGTGTGTGTGTGTGTGTGTGTGTATTATATATACATATTTGTGTGTATATAGATTTGTGTGTGTGTGTATATAGATATGATTGTATATAAATGTGTATGTGTGTAAATATGCATATATATATATATATATATATATAAAAATAGATTTATTTATTTTATTTATTTTATTTATTTATTTTTATTTATTTTTATTTATTTTTATTTAATTATTTATAAATATAATGTGTATGTAAAGATGCATGACATTTGTTTTCATGGATTAACACAATTCAAAGCTTGACTTAAGCAATTCTCTCTTCACTTCTCCTTATTAGTGGGCCTGTTACCATGTGTTCTATTTTCTAAAAAATCTTTCCCAGTGAACCACAAAAACTGCCATGCCAACTGTCAAGAGGGTGTCTGCTCCGGTCCCTTGCCCCAAAACTGCTGTCACCCCGACTGTGCTGGAGGCTGTAATGGACCAACCAGGAAAAATTGCACAGTGAGATCTCTTTTACAGCTGCCGAGCCATGCGATTTTTAGACATTTCATGCAGCTGCCGAGCCATGCGATTTTTAGACATTTCATGCAGCTGACGAGCCATGCTATTTTTAGACATTTCATGCAGCTGACGAGCCATGCGATTTTTAGACATTTCATGCACTTGAGATTTATTATGTTGTAGATGCTTTTTAAAATGTAAACAAGGAAAGTTCCATTTCCAATTGGCTGATTGGGTAGGTGTAGTAGAGTTCACCTGTATCTTTGACCTCTGTACATCTAGGGATAGTGTGGTCAGAACTATGCCCAGTTGCCTGAGTTAGGTGGACTCAAGGATGTGCTATGATTAGCCATGGACCTGAACTCGAGTTTTTAAATGTATTATCTACAAAAAAAAAAATCCTTAAATGTGTCTACATGTTGTAGAATTGATTAAACATTCTGACCACATCTATTGAGATGATCAAATGTTTAGTCTATTATCTAGAACAGGGGTCTCCAAACTTTTCAGTCCGAGGGCCGCATTATCTATCAAATTTCAATTCAGGGGCCCGCGGGCCATAGTTTGAAGACCCCTGATCTAGAATATAAAAAATTAACTCCCCTTTTTTAAATTGATAGTCCACAATGGCACATGAAAGAGAGTTCAATTCTTTCTTTGACAACCGCATCCGAGGGAATGGTGTGGTCAGCTCTTAAAGAATCATAACTGTGCTGAATTAGAATCTTATAAAAAATTTCCAATGCTACTTCCCTTATATTTTCATAGGCATGCCGAGAGTTTGTTGATGGTAACGAATGTGTACCACATTGTGCAAAGCCTCTGATTTATGATAAAAGCCTAATGAAGAATGTCAAGAATCCTAATGTCAAGTACACATTTGGCACCAAGTGTCTCAAGGAGTGTCCTTGTAAGTTTTTTCACATAGAAGTAGCAAGCTTTTTGGATGATATTTCAATGTCTCAAATATTCAACCAATTACAGGTCTTTACATTAATTTATATCGGAAAATATTTAAAATAGATTTGATCCAAAGTATTATAAATAATACATGTTAATATTTTTATATAACCACACATACATGTTATAAAGCCATTTATATGTGTATGTACATGATACAAATTAAATTTTGGCTGGTTTCCTTATATAAAGTTAATATACATTGATAATATAGCATGAAATAAAATGTCCATACTTTGAGAAAAATTGAGCTTGAATTGTTTGTTATTAGATTTTATGCTTGAAGACAATGGAAACTGTGTGATCCAATGCCCAGAAGGAAAATATGCTAAAGACAAGCGCCATTGTGAGGACTGCCCAGGGAGTTGCCCAAAAAGTAAGTTCACCTTTTTTTTTTTGGAAAAATTAAATTTTTTATTGCCATTTTTTTTTTTTTTTTTTTTTTTTTTTTAATGCAACAAGAAATGTACAGAAAATGTTGAGATCTTATATTTTAAAAAATTGAACCTTCATTATACAGAGTAGTTCTTAAAAATCACAATTTTAATTGTAAGCATTAACTGTATTTTATTTTATCACACAGAAAAATAATGTCTTTTATATATTTTTTTATTAATCTTTACTTTTTTCCTTTCTCTTCCCTTCCCCCTGGCCTGATCTATTCACACATTCATTCAAAATGAATACAAAAATTTCAACTACTGGGATATCAATTTCAATTTAATTTCAACTCCTTACAAAAATATCAAAATCTGTCTAAAAATCCTGCATTGAAAAATAAAAAAAAATAAAGTTTGCACAAGTCTTTCGGTGGGAGAATTTCTGACTAAAGATCATCTTGCTTCATTCGAAAACTGCACCATCTTAGATGGTAGCTTGTTCATTGTCCAAGCAAGTATAGTTGGGTAAGTTCTGAATGCCAACAACCTGCTGTCAACCTGGCGTTGAACTCATCTGCTCTTTTCTTGTTAACATGTGTTTTAATCCCTGTTGGCTGAACAATTTGACATGAGTTCTTGAGATAGTTTTTGCCTGATTTAGTCTAGTGGATGTTCAATGTTGTCAATGCATGTTTATTGGTTCCAATAAACTCTTGAGCCATTAGGGTATTAAAGAAATGTAACAACTGTTTTTTTTTTTTAAACTAATTTTTGTTACTTAAAGAAATAATTTTACTACCTGAATAAAGCTTCATTTATTTCGGGCAACTCTGTTAAATTGTGTGAACAATTTGATATTATTTCTGATCAAATCATGACTTCTTTTTCAGACTAACTGTTCCAACACGCAATTTTAATAAACTTTTTACTGCAAGATGTCTTCATCTAGTTTAACCTGGCCTGTTGCATATTTTAAATCTTCTATTCTGAGTCTTTCTCTCAAGCTAACATCATAGGCTGAAAACATTTTTTGTCTTATTAACAGCATTGCCAGGAGTTTTGTACATTTTGTGAATGAAATTTTTAATACTTGGTCATTGTTATAAATTTGTATTGCTGTAGTTTTGTGATAATTTTAGCTCTATTTTTATATTTAGAAAAGGCATCAAATCGTTTTGGAGTATTTGGTTAGACTTTATTTTACAGTAGCTTCCCTTTCCATTTTAATATTTATTCATAAGTTCAAATGCCCATAAAAAATCACAACATATAGTACTTGTGTAAAAATGATACTAAAGAGAGTAGCCTACAGGATTTTTTTAAAAAGTTAATAAACACAAAAAATGCTAAGGTTCTAACATGCCTGAAAATAGGAACCCTTAATTATTATTTACATATAATTTTTAAAATGCCTTACCCATATGGAATATTTGTAACGATCTGTTACACGTTTTGACTTTTGACATACTTTGCCTACCTATGATAGTAACCTACTAAAGAACATTTATCACTTACTTTAGGATTTATGAATTTAACCATGAAAAAAGCTATTGCTAATTTACAATGAAAAAATTTATTTAAATTACATTATAAACCCACAAAATTAAATACATTTAATGGTCGGTTTTTTAAATTTGTATACAATTTTATGCTTGACTTAAAATTGTCATTTATTTATGAAGAGCATTCAATTATGTTACTTTTCACAGATTCCATTTAGAAAATGTATGTCTAGCTGTTTTAACTATGTGATTTTTGTGCATTACTATAGCATGCAAAGGTACCGACGAAAAATTTCTCAACAGAACTATGTTACCCCATTTTCAAGACTGTACAGTTATTGATGGAAGTGTGAAGATTTTTAAAACATCATTTGAAGGGTGAGATGACAACTCAGAGTACTTTTATTTATTAGATTTTTTATTTAAATATCATAGGAAATTTTTTTTTTTTAATACTCCCGCCAGGTTTTTCATAGTTTATTTTGATATTCTGTTCTTTCTAAATAATTCAACCCGCTGTGATACATTGACTTATATGTATCTTTAAAAAATAGCCGGTTTTACAGTTGTGCTCTTATTTGTGGCGTTAATGACCGTGAAGAATTCAGGACTGCTGCAAGAGAGACAGTAAAACATTGAACTGAAATCTCAAAATCTTGAGAGATGTCGTTAGCTTGTTGTTTAGTGTAGTATCAAATTTTCCCTACTACAGTCAATCTATGTCAGCATGAAATGTTGTGATATTAACATTGTTATTCATTTCTTTTGTTCTTTTAAAAAGTTGACACGACTAACTTGCATTTTTATGCACTTGCATTATGAGTTTTAAGGCAAAATCTTCAAGATAGCTAAGCATGACAAAATGTATATTGAATTTTTATTAACTTATCAAAAGTAATTTTCAAAACTTTAACTTTTCATGTTATATTAAATGAGTGTTATATGTATGTAATTATTTTTATTGTAATTATTCTTATAAGTTAAATTGGAGAGTAGTTAATTATCAAAAGTTTGGATACGTGTTCTCAAAAAATTAACATTTGATTTAAAGCAATGTTTTTAAACTTTCTATTATTACTGTTTTCATATCCTTATTATGTTGTCTAACATTAACCCTCCGCCATCTGCTATACAGAGATCCCCATTACAACATCAGTGGGATACACCCGGATGAGCTCATGGTGTTTAAGCATGTGAAAGAGATCACAGGCTACCTGTCCATTCAGAACACCCCTCCAAACCTTTTAAACTTCAGCTTCTTGGGCAGCCTAGAAGTTATCCATGGCAGACAGCAAACTGCGTGAGTTGGATAACTTTTTCTGAACATTTATTATTTGAATTAAATTCTAAACTTTTAATTATTGTTTGTAATTTGTCTTCCATAAACTTTGTAAGTTTGATAACTGTTTTTGATTGCTAAAATATTCACATTTGGATTTAATACTTAATTATCCTTTGCAATACATCTTGTTTGATAGTTATAAAATTTTTTTCAAAATATGCATACCTGTTAGATTTGTATAGACTTGCCCTTCCTTTTGTACAAGATTATTTAAAAGCTTTTATTATCTTTAACTAAATTACAATTGTGCACACTTCAAACAGCTGTTTATCAAAATAGGGAGTCTTAGCTCTCTCAGTTAGTTGTGTTATAAAATGTGTTGTTGTTTTTTTCTCCTGTGTCAGTGGAACTGGGGCCTACTCCCTGGAGATAATTGTCACCCATGCCAGGTCACTGGAACTTATCTCCCTGAAGTCCGTCAGAAATGGAAATATATTCATTAGCCAAAATCCCAACCTCTGTTACGCGGACACTGTAAATTGGAATGAAGTGAAAGAAAATTCAGCACAAATTGTACACTTGCTAGGAAATAAAAGAAAGGAAACTTGCGGTAGGTTGGCATTTGATCTTTTATAACATCTATCAAGTAGGTTTTTAAAAAAATGTATTAGTGCTCCAAAATTATACACTTGCTAGCCAACAAAAGAAAGTTAGATTGTGGTAGGTTGGCATTTGATCTTTTATAACATCTATCAAGTAGGTTTTTAAAAAAATGTATAAGTGCTCCAAAATTATACACTTGCTAGCCAACAAAAGAAAGTTATAGATTGTGGTTGGTTGGCATTTGATCTTTTATAACATCTATCAAGTAGGTTTTGAAAAAATGTATAAGTGCTCCAAACTTTTGAGCATAATTAAATTTTTTAGTTTTATTTCATATAATTACATTGTAAGAATTTAACATTTGTTTTATTATGAGATTCATAATGTGTTGTTTATTTTTGCCTGTTCAGAGGCAGAAAATGAAATATGCGACGCTGAATGTGATACCTCTGGCTGTTGGGGCAAAGGGCCAACCAAATGTGTCAAATGTAAAAATTTCATGTACGAGGAAGAAAACCTGTGCCTGTCAACTTGCAACAGTAGCCCTAAATATCAGCTGTACCATAATTTTGGCAACAAGTGCGCCCGGTGCCATGAATTTTGTAATGGCTCATGCAATGGTCCAGTAAGTATTAATCTCCCATTATAACCATAAAATGGATGTAGGGGTGGTAACTACAACTTTTTAAAAATATTTTATTTGAAACTAAACTAGTGAAATTATCATTTAACCATGCCTGGGTTGAAGATTTTTTTTTACTTTTTTATGGGTAGAATTAATTTTTTTTTAGAAATCCACATTTAAAGGCTGATTTGTTTTCAAAAATGATAATTGTTAAGTGAAACTAGCTGACCAGACTATACATTGAGTGGTACATCTGAAGAATAACTCTTTACTTGACAGCTGCTGCTGAAAAGGGATTTTTTTAAAACTCGCCCATATATACTAAAAAGAGTTACAGATAAAATAATGATACATGTTATCAAAGAAAATAATTATACCGCAATTTAAACAAAAGCTCTTTTCATTGAAATTTTTTTAAATTAAATGCAATGTGTAGTATTAAAGAATTAATCACTTTTTATTTTATTCAGAATAATACACACTGTGAATCATGCCGTCACGTGACTATGATCCAGGCCAATGGTCAAAGAATCTGTGAGGAGTTTTGTACTGACACAATGTATCCAGACGAGCATAACATATGTAGGGAATGTCATCCGTACTGTGGAGATAGAGGGTGAGTATTTATTGGATATTCTTGATTTATTTTTCTATTTTAAATCTAATGAAAACAACTTAACCAAAACTATATTGGCATTTTTTTTAGGTATGACTGTTTGTATACTAGTGATGTCACAGCTTGATTGTTTGAATTTTGTTTTTTTACAAGAAAAAATTACTATGAAATTAATTTATAAGCAGAAAAAAAATAGTAATGTTTCCAACTTATGTAAGGGAAGCCACTCTAATATTGTTTACAAGATTGTTCCTACCACAGGAATCAAATAACCAGAAAGAGTTTTTGTTTGTATTTTTAAATGTCAATGTAATTTTGTCTAACGCACCAGAATCTATTGTGCTTCCTAGGAAAATTAAAATACATTGTCTTTGTGCAAATATTTACAAATTCGTTAAAATAATCACTCTTTTATTTTATTTTTTCAGTTGCAATGGCCCTGAGAACGTTGTTGGTCCCCAAGGCTGTAAAGCATGTAACCTGGGGTTGAAAAATGTAACAACCAAACAGATTTTCTGCCTGCACGAGTCGATTGACACATGCCAGCCTGGTTACTATAAGACTCAACATCATTCTGGGGGAAGCACGCCTCCATTCCAGGTCATTCAGTCTTTTTATTATAAGGCCTTGAAGCTCAGTAATTTAAATTAAATACTGGTGGATTTTTTGTGTGATATTTCTCCTTTAAAGACCTCTGCTAATTCACAGTTCATGTCCTCATTCCTAGTGCATTTTTCAATATACAAATTTCTGGTTTTATGTTTTTAGCCTACTATTTTAGAAACATTTACAATAGTGCAACTTTTTTCTAGCTTAAGCAAATAACATAATTTAACATAATTTAACCTCTCATTTAAACATTGAAAATAAACGCTAATTAAAATAAAATTTGCCTAATTAGATAATATAAATCATGCTTTAAATCTGCATTGTCCATATTTATTTAAAATGTTATTTTATGCTAAAAATAATTGGGGAGCAATTTTCAATTTTATTTTTAAAATTTTGTATTGTTTGTTTTCTTTGTAAATAGTATGTTTATATTATATTATTTTTTTTTTAGGTATGTGAAAAATGCCACGAATTTTGCAGTACCTGCTATGCAGCATCATCAGACAGCTGCCCAGAGTGCAAATACTTCAAGAACGACAAACACTGCACCAAGGAGTGTCCACCGGTTAACTACGCCAACCCTATCACTAAGATGTGTGAACCGTGTCACTCAGAGTGTCGCGCTGGTTGTCACGGAACCAGCACGTCTGATTGTCTTGCTTGCGCTAACTTCAAGGTCTACATAGACAGGGAAAACAACACAGTGAGTAGTCAGATTTTGGGTCTACGATCAAATCCCACTCAGTTAGTGGAATTTTAGGGGTCGGCGTGGTTGAGTCAGTAAAAGCTCATGGTTGCTAAACAGAAAAGTCTCGAGTTCAAACCCTCAGGAAGATGAGGCTCGTTAGCTGGGGACAGCCACTCTTCTAGGAGAGACAACTCCAAAATCAAATGACTACTGCCTTGTAGTTTGTTCTTGGTTGGACAAAGGCTATGGAAGCAAATTAAAAAAAAATAAAAACAGCCTGAAATCTGAGTCAATGGCCTCAAAAGTGCAAAAGTAATTTGATGATTATTTAACATCTAACTTGATTATTCCGTCGAATATAGCCTAAAATCAGATGAACCTTAATAATTCTTTTTTACGTACCTGACAAATATTTCAAATGTAACTTGATAATTCTTTAAAATCTAACTTGATTATTCATTCAACTATAGCTGGGAAATTCCTTTAGATGTACATTTATAATCATTTCTGATGTACCTAGATAATTCTTTCTAATGAACCTTGACAGAAGATAGCTGTTGAAGCTACCAATTAATATATTTATGCTAAAATTTTAAGCTTCATTGAAAATTTTAAGTTTTATTGACAAATTTTAAGTTGTATTGACAAATTTTAAATTTTATTGACAAATTTTAAGTTTTATTGACAAATTTTAAGTTTTATTGACTAATTTTAAGTTTTATTGACAAATTTTAAGTTGTATTGACTAATTTTAAGTTGTATTGACTAATTTTAAGTTGTATTGACCAATTTTAAGTTGTATTGACTAATTTTAAGGTGTATTGACTTTTTCAGTTTAACTGCACCCCTGAGTGTCCAGAGTACTTGCCCTACACAGTGAAAGACCTGGATAAAGATGAAAATAAAATTGTTTGCGTCGACAGATCCCACCCAGAGATTGCCAAATTGCTGGACAAAACATCAGAGTAAGATGATAGTTTACGGACATATAAAAAGAACTTGCCAAAAAAAAATTCAACCTATTTTCTATCTTATAATATTTTGCTCTTGCTCTTTTTATTTTAAATAGTTTTCATTGGCCTGAGTACAATAACCACAATACTACAGAATTTCTAAATACTCTAACTGCTTGGAAAGTTCATATTGTTGTTTAAAATCTACTATTTAAATTTACCAGTTTTATCCACATCTCCATAAGGGACATAACTCTAAAATTCTTGAAAGCTATCATTTTGTTAGGGTTTCTGTACAAAAATAGATCTCATGTAATAATTAAAAGTAAAATTCCATTTTCGGACCTGACAGTCTTTGGCGAAGCTATCATTTTGTTAGGGTTTCTGTACAAAAATAGATCTCATGTAATAATTAAAAGTAAAATTCCATTTTCGGACCTGACAGTCTTTGGCGAAGCGAAGTAGAGTTACCTGTTTCCATTATCTTGTCGTATGAAAGGATATTGTGGTCAGCACAGTGTTCAGCTGCCTTTACGTTCCCGAAGGTGAGCTGGGTGGACTCAGGAATGTTCTACACACTTGAACCCGGTTTCAAATTCCATACTTCCATACCAGTTAGCAGTCAGGTTCTACTGCTAGCTCATGGTATCCCGCACATGTAGTATTTGGCTTGAAACTAAGCTTAAGTTTTCACTTATTTTCTTGTAATGTGTTAGGCCCTATATAACTTGTTTTAACTTTGAATAAAACACTCACAGAGAGGAGAGGAAACTCAAGATTATACTGGGCTGCACCATCCCAGGTGTTACCATCCTGTTGATCATTATCATCTGTATCACCTACTATTGCCACAAAAAAGCCCAAAATTACAGGAGAGCTATGGAGTTCACAGCAAAGATCGCAGGTGTTGAAGATATGGAGGTAATTATTCATCTGATTTTTTTTTGTTTTTAAGCTTTGAGCACTATGATATTATGTAATTGTAGTGCTGTTTTTAAAAAAAGTAGTACTCAGAAAATTAAATCAGGAAATTGTAGCCAGTTTAGAATGTATCTCATTTATGACCTGTTTGTAATCTTCTAGCCTCTTACCCCCACCAATGCTAAGCCTGATTTGTCAAAAATGAGAATCATCAATGAAGAGGAATTGAAAAGGGGAGCTATAATTGGATCTGGGGCTTTTGGTACAGTTTACAAGGTATGAAGTGCATAATATCCATTTTTTATATATTCATTTTGCCAGGTATGTCTAGAACCCCTTAAGAAACCCTTAGAAAATGCATGAGCCGACTCAGCTATAGAATGTACCTGGCATTAGTTTGTATTAAGTTTCCACAAGTATTACAAGTTTAACTTTTTGTTACCAGGGTTTTTGGGTGCCTCATGGAGAGAATGTCAAGATCCCAGTGGCCATTAAAATCCTCCAAGATGGCCCCTCCCCTGGCCAGTCCAGGGAGCTGTTGGAAGAAGCCCGTGTCATGTGTAGCGTTGACCACTTGTGCTGCGTCCGCATCCTGGCTGTGTGCTTGAAGTACCAGATGTGTCTTGTCACCCAGCTGATGCCGCATGGCAATCTGTTAAACTACATCAGAGAAAACGCTCAGCACATTGGATCCAAGGCCCTCCTCAACTGGTGCACACAAATTGCCAGGGTAATCATTGTATTTTTAATCGGTTTTTTTTTTGTTTGTTTTTTCATTTTCCATTTCCTCTTGCAACCATTTATTTTTATTACACCACACAAAAGATTTTCTGAACAAAATAACGCAGTTTAAAGTAGGCCTATAAGGCTGATATCACTAAATATAATTTTAATAAAATTATTGCTGGCTCTTACAATACAACTTCAAAATTATATTTTTATATAAAGTTATTTAATGACAACAAATCTTCATAATTTTAGGGAATGGCCTATCTAGAAGAGAGAGGTATTGTTCATCGTGATTTAGCTGCCCGTAATGTGCTGGTGCAGACGCCAAATCAAGTCAAGATAACAGACTTTGGACTGGCCAAGTTACTTTCTGACAGTGAAGTTTACTACTCATCCGGGGGTCTGGTAAGTTGCGCTAGTAACCTTACAGTGATACTCAGATCAAAATCTTGGATTTTTAGCACTTTTATGCCAGTGTTAGATTATGATACAGCAAGTGCAGTTTCAATGAAATTAACGATTGAAGAAAATCTTTTTTTTATTTTATTTATTTATTTTTTATTCACCATAAAATGAAGCAGAATAGTTAATGTTCCTATCCCTTCATGTATCAAAATATCTATATATAAAATAAATTTTGCATTTTAGTTTTTTAGAAAACTTGAAAATAATCTGTGTATTTCTATATTTAGATGCCAATCAAATGGTTAGCTTTGGAATGCATCAATCACAGGATTTTTACTCACAAAAGTGATGTCTGGAGCTTTGGTAAGTCATAACTAGTACTATTTCATGAATTTATTTAATTGTATTAAAATATGTATTGTAATCATCCAAATTTAAGGTTAATAAAGTATTTTTTCACTAGCCAAATATTTTACAAAAGTTTTTCATTGGATCATCTCTCTTGTCCAGGTGTAACATTATGGGAGTTATTTACCCTGGGTAAGAAACCCTATGAAAGTATTAGAACAAAGGATGTCCCACTGCTTTTGGAGAAAGGGGAACGACTGCAACAACCATCAATGTGCACAATTGACGTTTACATGATCATGGTTAAATGTAAGCCAGTTTTTCTTCTACCTGTTATTTGTCATTTAAGCCCCATAATTTTTCTTTGCAAAAATACAGGTTATTAATTATTATAAATAGAATTATACTGCCTCACCTTGTATAGTTAACGTTTGATTTCAGTTATACAAAAGGCACTGTAATGAAAACACTTAAAATTTGAATCAAATTTAAAAACAATGTTATTCTGGTTTTCGTTGTTATTAAACATATTTAAACATTTTGGTCTTTTTTTTTATATTTATTTTGGAAAAATTGTACTACTAGATTTATAATTTCTATTTATAGGCTGGATGTTAGAGGCTGAATCTCGGCCATCTTTTAAAGAGTTAGTTGATGAGTTTGCCAAGATGTCAAGGGACCCTGGACGTTATTTAGTCATTGAGGTAAACTATTCTACGATTTATTCAGCTGGAATGAATTGTTTCCTAATTTTTTTAGTTTTAAGATAAGAACTTTAACATTGTTGTATTGTTGAGTAAGCTATATATTTTTTTAATTTTACATCATTTGTATTGCAAAATTATGTTGGTATCTCAAGTTTAAAATTTATTTTGTTTCATGTAATATTTAAAAACATGCATGCTTTTATTGCTTGTTTAAGTTTCTTACCTTTATTCTTGTTTTTCATATCTAAGTTAGATGTAAACAAAAATTTGTAGAGTTATACCCTTTATTTTAAGTCTACTTGTAATGTTAGTAACAGTTTTAAGCTTTTGAATCACTATAGATACACTAAGTTTTGTTTGTGATCCTGTGAGTATGCAAATACCACTCCACTATTGTGAATTTTGTTTGTTTTATTTTTATTACAAGTGAACATTATCTTATTTGTCATTTTAATTGCATTCTACAAAAGGTTTTTTGTTTTATAAATAATTTTTAGTTCCATTTAGTTTTTTTAACTTTTGTGTACAAATGTTAGTGGCTAAAAGTAACTAGATTTGTACATTTTGTACTTGAATTTAAAACTATAAACCTGACAATCCTAAATAGTGAGTTATTATTGGAAAGAAAAATTCTTAAGTCCGAACAACCCAACATTTTACTGCACTACAACAGGGAGACAAGCATCGTAGATTTCCAGAATCAGCGTTTAATGGCTCTCAGCTAGAGTTTACCCCTCTTGATGGTTTGGAAATACATCCTAACCACTCTTTGCATTCATTGCCAACAAATGGTGCAGTGGGAGGAGCTGATATTGCTTTAGGTGCAACTGCCGCAGAGGTCAAGGTTATCATCATACTTTATGTATTGATGTCTTAGTGTACCCTAATTTGATTTTATTGTAGTTAAAAAATTTTTTTTACCATGTAGCTTGATTGTAAATTAAATTCAGTCCATTTTGTTTTAGTCAACCTAACTATCAAAATACAACTAAATTACATTTATCAAATATTTAATGAAAAGAATAACCATTTTATTGTAATCTGTTCTATTTCATTCCTATCAATGTTTTAGTTTGTTATATTTTTCTTCATTTTACTATTTGCTTATTTTACTAGGCCTACCCCTAGCATATAAAATTCTGAACAATGTTTAATAAGTTTATTAAGTCTGAAAGGTTTTATATTTTAAATATTAAAATAAAACATACACCTAAAACTTTAAAAATGTACAACAGTTTTAAAATCCAACTTTATTTAAATATAATCTTGAACACAAGCTACTGGTATTTGTAATTTATAAATTGTATTATTTTTTTTTATTCAATAATTTTTTATTCTATTCTGGCAAGTCATACAGTTATGCACGTTTGTTTTTACATTTCCTTGTTTTTCAATTGTCAAAGTCACTTTTCTTTTAAGTGTAGGACTTTCTTTATGTGTACATTTTTTTAATGGCAGACAAATTATTATATCATGTAAAGTGGCAAAAGGTGCATATATTGTCATAAAATATTTCTTTCCTATTTTTATACTGCAAAAAGCACCAAGCCATTTTTACTAGTCTTGCTAAGAATATTTTCACTATTCTAACCTTGTTTATTTAGATTTGTTCTCTTAAAGTGTATTTGAATCTATTTTAAATGTATTTCATCTCTTACAGAAGTAATTTGTATTTATTTATATTTTTTTCTTGTAATTTTTCTCTTTTGGAATCTAATAATTCAATTTTCATCAAGCAAGACTCGTGTAAAAAAAACTAACTGGCATTGAAGTGTAACAAAAAATTATTTACTATTTCAGGGTGATTCACTGATGAGGCTTCCGAGTGTTTCCATTGACAAAGATGAATTTTTTAATGGTCTTCTGTCTGATGGGGATGAAAACCTCATGGAAGCTGACGATTACCTACAGCCAAATGAAAGCCACAGACTGATGGGCCCCTCTCTTTCCAGACAAATCAGTAACATGTCCAATGTAAGTTCTTGTTGAGAGTATAATAAGCGATGCATTAGTAATTATTTAGTAATTTCGTATGTTATTATTTAGAAAATGAATGCATAAGTTATGATCAATAAAATTATTGTATATAAATGAGGGACATCAGGGTAAAAAATATTAATTGTAAGTTATTATATAGGCCTAAAAATAATAAGTATCAAAACTGTAAAGCGTTTATACTTTAGTAATAATGGAAATAATTCAATTATTATGTACAGGTAGTAATTTGTTTACAAATCCTGACAGAAACGTAAATTTGTTGTTTCATTTAATTTTTTTCAACAACCACCTGAACTAATGATTTAAATATTTTACGGACTGACAACCTTGACATTGATTAATGGAATTGTTGTTTCATGGCTATTTTCAGATATTTTTCTTGGGGGGGGGGGGGGGGGGGGTTAGTATGGTTTACGTATATATTTTCTGTATAAATTTAATTTAATTTTTTGAAGGGGGGGGGGTGGCACTGTTTGTTATATAAATAAATGTAAACCCCTGCTTTGGACACTGGAGAGAAAGCAGGCTGAAATCATAGTCTGTGGCCTGTATGGCACATAACAAGTTGACATGTATACTTAACTTTGTTGGAGGGAATCTCTTCCAACGTTAAAATTAAGAACACAGAAGAAGTAGACACTGGAGTGTATTTCTTTCTTTCCAGTCATCCCAGCACAGAATTATGGGAAACCACAACCCAGAGGGCGGGGCTAAAGGCTACAAGGCCAGCCCAGATGGTGAGAAAGTGAGAGAGAAAATGTACGGCCACCTGACTGCAGCGGCCAGGGCCAAGCATGAGCGGGAACACCCTCACAATCGTGCAGATAGTGTGGGCTCCCGTTACAGCTCTGACCCCATCAAGTACAACAAGATCAAAGGTGAGAACAATGCTAGTTAACAGTCCTAAATTTTGGGTTGGACGTAGAGAGTGTTATTTAAATCCCAAATAGTTTTGTGTGGTTTTAAAATATTTTAGTTTAAAATATTTTAATACTTTACAAAATCTGAACTCTCAGACGGCATTGAATGGGCTATAGATGAGAATGTTCCAAACGGTTACCCAATGGGCTATGTGTATGACCCCCGGTCGTCCAAGTTGTCGTCGCCAACATCAGTGAGGTTACCAGTGGATAAGGATGATTATCTTGAGCCTGGAGCTGCTGCCCAGTCTTTGGCCTATTTGGATCTTGATAGCAAAGGTGAGGAACTCTAGGATAGATGAAGGGAAAATTTGTTAGAGTAGCCTCCCTCAACTCTCCAAAATATGTTTACCACTTGGTACCTAAAAAAAACTTAAGTGTTTATTGACTGATTTGAACTTTTCCTTATTGAAAGGGAATTTTTTTTTCTTTAAGCTGGGTTATCATCTGAAGCTTTGTAATAACTGTTACTTTTTATAAAGTTATGAAAAATTAGTTTTTTTTACATTAAATAAATAAAACTTAAACTTTTAATTTAAAAGTTTAAATGATTATATTTTTCAAGTCATGTTAGTACTTGTTACCTTTAAATTTTAAAAAAAAAAAAAAATTATTTTTATACTGCTTGTATTTATCTCTAGGCTATTATCAAAACGAGAAAGACCTATCAGGCGAGGATCCCTTTGATGAATCTGGCAGTGCGCTCAATCATTCAACTTCTCCAGTTTCCTCAGGAAAAGAGCTGAATGAGATGCACCAATACAGTAACTTTGAACCAGGTTCCGATGTAGCCCCTAAAAACACCGCCACCAACCCAGTCTACTTCGACAGCGATGAAGTCTGGGAGCGCAACTGGACCAACCGCAACGGCTACCATGCCGTGCCCAACGTCGCTCTGTCACCAGTCCACTCCAAAAAAAACGGTTCTGATTCCTACTACAAGAGCATGAACGGCACGAGTCCATCGCGCTCACCTTTGGTCAACACAAAAGTGAAATTGCGTGGGTCAAGACTAGACAGCACGGAATCAAATGTCTAGATGGATTTTTAAAAAATCCTTGACCAATCAGGTCGGCCCTTGAACAAAAAATTTCTTGTGCCCCTTGAGGGGAATAAACTTTAGTTATGGCATAACTAGAGTAAACTATCATGACAATGACTTGGGGCATTTTACATTACCTAAACCCTTGTCATTGTAAACCTTATGTTGGATCCTCAATTTATGGACATCGAAAGTGATGAAGTTATATGTGATAAGCTGTAAAAGTTCTTGACTGTTGAATCACATATATATTTACATGGAATTTATTTTTTCTTCACGGGAATTTACTTTTCACAAATTGGAAGAAACTTTGATGATCATACTTTTGGTTGTCTTACTCATTGCTATTTACATCTATTTAATCAGACTTCTCAAGACAACTCCTCTGATTATTTGAAAGGATGGTGACGATGTTTTAGCCGCTGCTTGTATGTATATATGTAGATTGTGACACTCTCACTAGCCACATTGTTTTCACAAGCAAAAGCAAAGTAAATGTTTTAAAATTCTAACAGACAATTTCATATGAACTATGTGATAGTGTTCTCCAGTTTGCAACATTTTTTGTGAGCTATAAATTTTGTTATGTAATATGGAATGTACATATACGTGAGGCCAAATGAAACCAATATTCTCCTATAATACTAAGCTAAGAGTGCATAATTTACATCACGCAACTGTGGAAGAATTTTAAATTTTTTTAAATAACTCCTGGAAGCTGTTGAAGCAGTATTCCACACACAAATTTAATATACCTTTATAGAAACTGGACTTGGCATTATAACTTTGTATAGTGCTGAATGTATTTTCTGCGCTAATATTGATTCTTTACTCATTTTTACCCACCAAATAAATTATCCACTAACTTATCTATTGGTTATCAAGTTATCCACAGCTTTTGTGAACAAAATGGCATCCATTGCGGTTATGTTATGTTAAATGACACAGGCAGATTTGATTGAATTGCCTAGATAAGCATATTCTTGTAATGGTTGTTTATTTATTTCATCTCTCATATGATTGCAGCATTGTAAACCATAAAATGCTTCACTTCATCAATTCCTTTACACATGAACAGATTTTTTTTTTATATTTTTTTTGTGATCCTTAAAAAAAAGTATTTAAATACTCAAGAATAAATAGACTTATATTTTTGCAAACAAATAAGTTGAAAACATTTTGTTAAAAATTAACCTCTCAAATAACTTTTATAGATACTTTAAACGAAATTTCTAAGTGAAATAATGTGTAACGGAATCTATAAAACTTACACTAAAATGAAGTCATGTTATTTTTCATGTGTTTAACACTCAGATGCCATGTACATAGACACGCCTATCTGTGCCAACTGTAAGAGACATAAACTACACTATCATAAGACCACTTGGGTTGCAAACCTGTAGTATGTTGTTGTTTATTTTGCTATTGGTGATGTATTCTCAACGTTTTGTAAAGCAGTAATAAAAAAAATAATGCATGAATTTTTTTACCCACACTGCCCTAAAAAGTTTAAAGCGTATCACAAAAATAAAATGACACGTTAGGAAACAGTTGACTTTTTAGCTCACTTGGAATTAAGTCACAAGATCAAAAAATGATTGTGGTTTTAGATCATTGAACTTAGTTCAATATTCGATCTACAGTCAGCTTGCTTTTTAAACTAGACATCTTCAGATGAGCAAGCCTGTAGTAAATTGTAAGTGCTTACACAGTACTAAATGATTCAGAAAGTTGTACTTCTGTCTAGACCTGCTCATTTTAATAACATTTTAAGAACAAATAAGTGTTTATTATGAAACTATAGAAAATTCACAAATGAGAATTTATTTTAGGCTTTTATCAAAATAAACTTTTTAAATATTTAATTTAGAACAATACACAAAAACATAAGTATACAGTATTAGACTTCATCTTAAATTAACCATTTAGATAGTTGCTCTAAAAATTTTGAATACACTTGTTTGTTCTTAATATATTTATTAGAATGACCTAAGTTGTGGATCTATTCTCTTTCGTATTGTAATTTCAACTTTTTAATTTCATAAATTTAGTTCATTAACTTTCTGTTCAAACTTTTTTAACTAGCATAGAAATGTTTTTGAGTTATATCATTTTCACATTACAGCAAGTGATATTATTTTTATTCTTTTTTTTTTATTATTACAAGCTTTAATTTACTTTATTTTAAAAAAAATTGTAAAGAAATAATAGTTACAAAAATACCTTTGTATAATAAATATAAAATACTTGCTTTAATATATGCCTAAATATTTTATTTACCCAAGATCAAAGTTCTTTAAAATGTATCAAGCATTTAAGTGATCACTGTTATGAATTTATAAAATCTTGAGTCCTTTATGGTTAGGTACTACAAAGGGGTGGCATATTTAAGTCTATTTTGGGGGTTATCAGTTTCTCCCATCATTCTCACTATTGTTGCACCTGTCAGATTAGAAAATAATACTTTCAGTTTAAAGTGATATGGGTTACATTGTCTGAAAAATTCTACTCTAATTTTTTAAGTTTTAACTTGATTATTATATAAATACAGATCTAGTTTGTTTTTTATTTTTAAAAAAAAATATATTTAGTTACATAAGTTTATATTATATTCACACAGTGCAATAGGAGAAACAGGATGGCATAATAATTTTAAAATAATAGTGTCTAACACAACAGTAAAAAAAAATTAATTTTAGACTTCATACATTTTATAAAATGTGATACACAAAATAGACAAAGACTGCAAAAGTTATTTTACAAAAAATAAAATAACATTTTCAGTGGTAGTGTTAGGGACTGTTCTGAAATGATGTCAGCCATCAATGAGGTAAGGTGTGTATCTGACATTTTGACTAAATTGTGGGATTGAGTTAAGAAGTTCTGTAGTATAAAAGCTATATTTTTTTTTAAGTTCTTTTTTTTTTAGATACCTGTTTATTTTATAATATGACACTAGCTTTAAGATAAATTTTTAAAAATCTTTTAACAGTCAATGCATAAATCTGTTTCACCTTGTTTATCTTTAAGATACAAACTCTTGGCTTTTTTTTTTTTCAACTCTTCTACACTTAGTTGAGTTTTGTTTTGATCCAACATAATTATTTTTCTCTATAAACAGTAAACTGCCAATCTCATATATCATATTTGTTCACAAGTTGATTGTTACTGAACATGAGTGCCTGGATGTTAAAATGTGGGTTTCTTTTTACATTTTTTAAGTCGCCAACTGTTATTTTATATTTATAGATATATTTTTAGTAATATTTTATTACAGCAAAATATTACAGTTTTACAGGGAATTTTTCAACTTCAGTTTTGCACTTTTTAATGATGAATTACTTTTTTTTTTCAATTGTTTCTTAATTTCCTAAATTTAAAATTTAGTTAAAGAATTTAAATCATTAAAATTCGGATATTAATCTTTGTGGCAGTGCAGCCATACATAATCTTTCCTGTTTTGTTTTGTAAACGCTGTTTCACACAATGAGCAAACAACACATATCAGTATTTTTTTATGTTCTTTTGTTTATTACATTTTTCTGGTGCTGTTTTATATTGCACTGGGGGAAAAAATGGACAGTGCTTTTGATAAGATTGTTTCGTATGAAATTTCATACGACAGGATATGACTTGTGTCCGGCTTAGGATCAAATATGGGCTAGTAGTTGCTTGTTAAATAAGAGACCCCTCTCTTCAAGCAAGTAACAAAATACAAAAAAAAACACTCATATCTTAATTTTAATTTGCTTTACAAAATGTAAGTATGTACATATATTTCATTGTGCATGTGTAATTATGTTTTTTAGAAAACATCTATGTGTAGACATGGATTTCAATGACTTTCCTAGATGTAATATGATCATACCTTTTTTTTTATCATAGAAAGCCATGCTGATCATCACATATTATAGTTTTTCATTTTATGTAAAACTGAAATGTCCATAGTACTTAAAATGATTATTATTGTTATTGTATTATTTATGAAAGTAACTGTACCTACATATATATATATATATATTTAGGCATGTTAAATGTTAACATAAACAGTAAATAATCCCATCTGAATATTTAATTATAACTTTTCCATAAACCGTCAACAATGTATGTATTACTTACAGGAAGACAAAATGATTTTATTATTAGAAGCAAAACAATATTTCCAATGGTTTAAGATTATATATATATATATATATATATATATATATATATATATATATATATATATATATATATATGATCTATAACAGTAAACTATGAAGAATGTTCATTGTTTTTTATTTCTTCAAATCTTAACCGAATAAATATGTGCTTATATGCTCAGATAAACAAGTTAAATCCATCTGTCTTTAATTATTTTTATACATGCCTTGTCAAAGCAGTGGTGTGCATTGCCTTGATGTAAAATATTGCAGATTGTGTCTATCTCCCATATTTTCTTGTAGTTTTAACAGATTTAAGTATCAGAACAAACAAAAATTGTAGTTTTTTGCAGAAATTTTTTTTTAAATGGCTTTAAACTGACTAAAGGTTGCTGACCACTTCTCTGTGAGGTGCTAGTAATCATGTAATGACAGAAAACACAAATTTGCTTTCTTTTTTTCATCAAATTAGTTTGAAATAGAAATAGACTTTTTTTTTTAATTTCATTTTTTAATAGCCGTTTTAAAGTTATAAGAATAAATTAAGTAGTATTAGCACACTATAAAAAAATTTTTTTAGTTTTCTGAAATAGGCTACAATATATAAAGAAATGAGTAGTAACATGTTGTTACAATGATCTGTGTTCCATATAAATTACAATAAAAAGCACAAAAAACTATTTTGAACAATGTAAACATTGACTTTGTGTAGTAAACAGTTTGTAACTTTTGTATATGTGCGTGTATCCACCAGATTTGTGAAGTTTGGTTCTATTTATGGATAACGGGAACAAAGTTTTTTTTTCTAAATTATGATAATAACTGGCAGCTTATAGTTGTAAATTAAACATGACACAGAGT